TTCCTGACATTTGAAGATGGCAGCCCAGCTAGCTGAGATTCACTGAGGGTAAGTCTACACTGCAAGCTTATTTTGGAAAAAACTATTCCAGAAGATATCTTAGAATGGCCCTGGTGAGGAGCTATTTCGACATAGCAGCAGTGGAGTATAACATACACTGTCTTCAAAAAGAGCTTTTTTGAAAGAGGTGTTATTCCTCGTGGAATGAGGTTTTCCAATGTCAGAAAAACCCCTCAGTTACTTTGATTTTCTTTCTAAATAACTCAGTTGCTGTGTGTGGACACTAGTATTCTTTTTCCAGAATAACAGCCGTTATTCTGGAATAACAGTGCAGTTAGACACATCCTTCGAATCAAAAAGAGATTTTAAAAATGCCTTCTAGGGCTCAGGAAGGAAGTGGAGGTATATATCTAAAACATTTTCAAACTAAATTACAGTTATTACCTGTAGGGCACTAAAAACCTGTTTTCCAATGGGATTTCTTTATCCAAATACTATGGAGAGTTTTCATTTGACAAATAAAACAAAACAGCAAGAGGCACAAACAAAAGTGCCTCAAAACATTAGGTGTAAATACAGATCATTTTAATTATTTTATTTAAATGCACAGACATTACACACTGGTTCAAAATAATCTATATTTCTTTATGTTTTCATAACATCAAGAATTGAAACAGGAATACTAATTTATATCTTAGTTATAACATATATATGCCACCATGAAATACAGAAAAATAAGTTCAATAATTCACTTCAATACCTGTGTCAAATGAACTATCTTTTCAGACAAACATTTTGAAGGAAGGAAGGAAGGAAGGAATGTCATTGTATAAACACTTAAAACATTTTTGGGTTGGTTTTAGATAGCAAGAGTCATATCTTATGTTGAATGTATGAATGCCAAAACCTTCTATTCTGGTATGGTATGATATGGAAGACAATGAAGAGAAAAGTACATACACAAGCATTTAGTAATTATAGTCTATGTGAAATCAGTTTACTTATTAAATGAATCCCAGGACTCAAGCACCTCTTCAATGAAATAATAAGGCCCTGCATGAAACAAAGAGATTTACTTCTTTAGAGAGATCCCATATTGCCACTAAGTCCCTTTGGGGAAGGTATTAACTTCAACTTTGTATCTAAATAGTTTCTGCCTTGTGTGATGACATACCTGAAACTCTAGTGAGTTCATAGGAAGAATTTTATCTGGGTGAATATGAACAGCATAGAGGAGTGCACTATATTGTTATGAGTGAAACATGGAGAAACCCGTTTTCCACCTTGATTTTCTCATTTTGCAGAAGACAAGAAAATAATTTTAAATTAATTTTTTTTTTATTCCTGTTATCTCTGTACTGCCTTCTCAAAGGAGAGCTCTGAAGTGGGTGGCTCCTAAACCAGAAGTTTAAACCTATTCCATTAATCTGTCTGAATCAAGAACTGCAATCCATAACAATATAACTAGGAAATATTTACTTTTTGCTAGCCAATAACCATATCTTGAGCCAAACTCCATAACTAAAGACTGAGCAGAAAGAAGCTTTGGAAGTTATGAGTCTAATTCTATTCTCAGTTACATCCATGCAACTCCACTGAAATCTACTTTTCTCCCTTACCTAAGTGTCTGATTCTGGAGCTATTGAAATCAGTTCCCATTGACTTCAATGAGGCCCAATCCGTTTCCCTTGGAATTCAGTGGGAATTGAACTGATTCCTAGGAAAGGGAATGTATGGCTTTACAGGGCCATTTAAGCTAAGTGAACCTTAGAGTTTTTGAAGTAGGTTATTCCCCTGGGAGAAGATTTAGGATCATTAAAATAAGTTCATAGTCAATTTGAAATCATTACTGATAGGGGCCTTATTTACTTTCCAGTCTTCACCTAGGACGCTTATTGTTAATAATGAGAAAGATCCTGAAGTGCTAAGTATAATGAGGATAAGGGTTGTTTAGAATAGTCTAATTTTTTCCTTTTTATGCATATAAGTCTCTTATTGAAATCAATGGGAGCCATGTGCATGCTTCTGAAAACAGAATTTGGCCCAATGACTCATTGGCCTACCCACAGATTCTCCATCTCCATCACAGATTCTCCACTGAAAATGGCTCACAAGCACTAGAGCATTTCTGATGGTACAACACATAAAACACATCTTCTGCAAAAATGACTCCAGCACCTGAATATATAGTTTAGCACCAAAAAGGCAGCCTTTACTAGTAAAAAATAAATGAGTCCAAAATATTGCAGGTAGTTATTATAACAGGAAGGGCTGCACTGGGTTCTTAATGGCATTGACGTGTTGTTACTCCTATAACTCTCCTAAGTGACTCTTATTTTAAATCACTGTTATTCTTTATCCCTTTTATTCCTTGTACAATTTTGTGAATATCTGATTTATGCTTAAAGTAAAACAAAACAAGTCTGCATCCAAAGGAATTGTTTTCCAATCGCCAGTCTCCTGTTATAAAAGCACACTGCTATTCTGCTCTCTTGGAAAAAAGTGTGGAGCTGTAAACCTATAAAATGGGTGAAATATACCCATGGTATTTTCTTTTCTCAGCATAGCCATGTAATTGTGAGAACATGTTATATGACACCTTTGATCTTCAACACATTTCTGGTATTTTTATTCAAAGAACATTTTGTATCAGGCAATCAATGAAACGGCACTGACATGGGCCATCACAATGGACGTTTGATGCAATTGTCATTACCCAACCAAAGGGAAAGCTGATGAGAGAACTTATTGGGATTCAAATAGATGATGCAATTTGTAAAACAAAATTGAAGAATAAATTGCATTTGGTTAGTCAAATGTTCTGTTAGCTGTCCCCTTCACTGTTAAATGAAATATGGTAAACTAAATGCTTGCTGCTGGTTTTCTCAAAAGCTGCTCTTATGAAATAGCTTATCTCCAGATTATTTCCTGCTGCTGTAAACTACAGTGTGATTATGACAGATATAATTATCCGTAGCACCATTACTGTATGTTCTGAAAAAATCTGCAAACCTGTCTGATAGTAGTACAGATTCATATTATTTATATCTGCAGAAAACAAAATATTCCAAATGATTAACTTATTATTACCAAGTTAAAAAGTAGCATATACAATAATATATATACCCGTTATAATACTTTCAGTTGAATTACAGAATTATAAATTAATGTACAATTTCTAGTTCTGTTTGGAAAGTGTACCACACAACGCACAAGTTGCAAGTTACAAAGTGCATAGTTATTAAACATTAAACTCTAATCCTTAAACTTTGCAGATTAGAACTTTTGTTAACATAGTCTCTGCCTGTTATTTTTTACACATTTTTGCAATTACAAGGAAATGAAAACATGTAAAATGTTATCTGTTCCCTCATTTGTCATGTGGAACAAAAATGCATTTTGCCTCTGTAGTTCTTATTCAAAGCTCCAGCGGGGTTATCTAACATAGCCTATGTACCACTTAAACCTAAACCTTTCAAATAGGGCCTTGAGTGCAGCACAAAGCTTGTGTTTTCCCTCTGCAAAGAAGTGAAGCGAAGCTGGACTATTTGATTGAACGAGGACTGCAGAACCTCAACCCCATTGTAAGCAGAAAGGAAAATCTGTAACTTTTAAATTGTTACTGAAATAGAAGTGATAGAAACGTCATAGGTGGTTTTGTTTTTAAGTTCTGATGCCTTGTGGCATTATATACATCTTTAATTATTGTCTTATCAGACAAAGGAATGTCACCCACAGATATGCTTGAAGAGCTCAGTACAATAAATGACGTTCTCTGAATTACTGTCAAATCATGGATATCTGAATTGCAAAAATTCAATTTGCCACACACTACAGCTCTCATTTTATCCATATAATTGAGCCCTTTGGCAATGGGGGTGACAACACTGTAAATTATTTCCATATTTGTAATTTTAGCAAGGTTATCCTGTATACTGGTGGCAGACTTTCTTAATTAGCTTTGGCAAAATGACAGCTTCTCTTTAAAATAAAATGCATATTTTTTATTCTGGTGAAGCTATACTATACCACTCTAATTTTTCTACCGAATCTGGCTGTTCCAAATCTCATGAACTTCAAAACTCCCCGAATCATGGGCAGCAGGTTCATATAATTTTTGTTGGTGCTCAGAATGGGTCCATGTCCTGCCTGCCCCCACACTTCTCTTGTAAGCCAATACATATTTATAAAAAAAATGTAAAAATGTGAGGGTTCTGGGGTGGGGTTGGGCATGAGGGATTTGGAAGAGTTGGAGGTGCTCAGGCAAAGGAGTTAGGCTGTGGAAGTTATAGTTGTGGGGTGGGATCAGGGATGAGGACGTTGCGGTACAAGGGGAGGTTCGTGTCTTGGTATACGGTTTGGATGTGGGGGTAGGGACTTTGGGGTGGGGAGTGGCCAGGGATGAGGAGTTTGGGATGCAGCCAGGCTGCCCCAGGGCTGGGGCAAGAGAAGGAGTTGCTAATTTTCTCCACTGGATGGATCAGTTGCCATTTGTGACATTGGCATCTGCTCTGTCCAGTCAAGAAAGTTGGCAGCTCTAGCCTTTTACCCCCTAGCAGCAACAAGCTTGCACCACTGTTACTGAACATATTCCTAGGGCCTCCCTTAGGTCTAGGAATCCCCTTGCCTCCCCTGTGGTGGGTGGCATGGGGGGACTACAATTACATGTGCCCCTCCTCTCCTGCTGTTACCTCTCACCAGAGCCTCACTGGGGATGGGGGGATGGGGCTGTCTCTTGCCCAGCATGGAGCAGGAACAGTGACTGCAGGATGAGAGGGATCAGGGTGTGATGACAGTCACCCAAGCACCAAGCTGCTGCTTGAGTAGAGACAGCTGGCTGGCACTCACCTGTGCCAGGGACAACAGGGACTCCCTCTGTACTGGTGGAAGGTCCCATCTCTAAAAGGGAAGGGACCATCCATCTGAGGCAAAAGGGCAGGGGCAACCTGGGGCAGCCCCACCCTGATACTTGTGGTGGAGGGGGGGTGGGAGGGAAGAGAGCAGAAGGGAACTGGCTGGGGCTGGATTGCCTGGAGAGAGAGCACAAGGGAACTGCAGGGGGCAGCCTTGCCACTCCTGCCCAACATATTTATGTCAATGAGGGTATGTCTACACAGCAGGGCTAAAGCCAAATATGCAACTTGAGCTATGTGAACTGCGTAGAGTAAGTAAAAATAGCTCATTGTGGCTTTTGGTGCAGTCTACAGAGCAGGAAGACCAAGAAAGAGCACTCTTCCTCCAACTTACTCCTCGTAAAATGAGAGTTACAGGAGTCGGAGTAAGAAATCCTCCAGCTCACCAATATTTTGACATTGTCGAAATAACTGCTTGTAGTGTATACACAGACGATGTTATTTCATGATAATGTCAGCTATTCCAAAATAACACTGCTGTGTAGACGTGCACTCAGAGTGGAAATGTGGGAGATCACTTGTATTCCCTGTCCAGCAACATGAAGGTACAACTCTTTAATGAATGTTGCTTTAATGCCACTTTAATTATTGTTGCTTACATGAATCTGAGGGCAAGAATTTGGACTCCTGTCTGTTATGCATACCATTAAGGACAAGCTATTATACATATAAACAGTGTTCTAGTTTGAGCTGTAGTCCCTTTATCCATAAATGTTCTACTTAGCTCCCACAATAAGTTTGCTATTTAGGAGGAGAATAAATATATTTTTCTTCACTGAGTTATTAAAACACTTTTCAGGAAATAGCCTGATCCTATTGTGCAGAGGATTAGCTATACCTGCATAAAGTGCCTTTATACTGGTATAATTGCATCAACACTAACAGGCTATGCAATGTTAACCATGCAGTATAGTTGAAGTGATACGACTTTCTAGTTTAGACAAAGTTTTAGTCAGAATGGTGGACACTTTCAGTTCCATCATATTTCTTAGTGGTACAAAGGCCAGTGTGGCTCCCTATTCTTTACTTGTGTTCCTCCACATAGGCATCATTGGTGATAGCATCATCTGTGTGTTGAACTCTTGAAATACCTTAAGTTAGTCACTGTTGTGCAGAGGGAAGCTAACATAATGCTGAATGCTGGAGTTCCTCCTACAAATGTGTTAACACTTGCTCAGAGAGTCCGATTAACCATGCAGGAGTAAGCATAAATGGAAATGGGAGTAATTGTTTGCAAGGTGAGGGCAATGTGGGGTATATAAGAAGAAGGCAATGTACCCAGTCTCAAAGGGAAAGATCACATTTTAGATGTAAGTTGACAGTGACCTTTTAAATTTGCTTTTAATAACAAATAGAACATATTCTTTGGGAAATTACACTTTCTTTAGATGATGTAAGATTATCCTTCTCTACATGATCATGGCCTGAAATAGAGAATTGTAGTTATACATTCCAAAGAGTTAAAAATGAACCTAGACTGTACTCTGACAGCTAATTGTTCAAAAGCATATACAAAGAAAACAAGGGTATTATTACTATATAAATATATATAAAATATGTGCAAAATTCAATATACAAGCTTTTGTTACTCAGACAAATTATTTAAAAATAATGTAAACTTATGTTAACTTATTTAAACCAATATAAGTAGTTTGATGTTATTCCTGGAAAACAAAGATTGTCAGTACAAGCTCCTCCATAACTAGGAGGGCAAGCAGAACATGGGACTCCTACTTTATATGGCGCTTCTCCAATCCAGTTGCCCCTGAAAATAGAAAATAACATATATTTGTAGTAACTTAAGAAAAAATATTCCTTAATCAGAACAAAGTAAGTTTGGATGATATATTGCACATCCTGTATTTATTAAATAATTTCATACAGCATTAGAGACACACACTACTTTAGAAATGTGATAGAAATGTAGCCGTGTTAGTCTGGGGTAGCTGAAGCAAAATGCAGGACAATGTAGCACTTTAAAGACTAACAAGATGGTTTATTAGATGATGAGCTTTCGTGGGCCAGACCCACTTCCTCAGATCAAATAGTGGAAGAAAATAGTCACAACCATATATACCAAAGGATACAATTAAAAAAAATGAACACATATGAAAAGGACAAATCACATTT